TGCATGAACTCAGAGTGAGAACACACTTATTATCATGAGGACAGCACCAAGCTATTCATGAGGGGTTCAATCCTGTGACCCAGACACCTCCCACCAAGCCTCACCTCCAACACTGAAGATTACTTTTTTTTTTTTTTCCATCCAGGCTGGAGTGCAGTGGCATGATCTTGGCTCACTACAACCTCCACCTTCTGGGTTCAAGTGATTCTCCTGCCTCAGCCTCCTGAGTAGCTGGAATTACAGGTGCCCGTCACCATGCCCAGCTAATTTTTTTGTATTTTTAATAGAGATGGGTTTTCCCCATGTTGTCCAGGCTGGTCTGGAACTCCTGACCTCAGGTGATCCACCTGCCTCGGCCTCCCAAAGTGCTGGGATTACAGGCATAAGCCACCACACCCAGCCTGAAGATTACATTTCAACATGAGATTTGGAGGGGACACATGTCAAAACCATATCACCTCCCAAGTAGACTACACATCCCAAGTCCCTGTCTCAAGGTCTGCATTTGAGGGATCCCTGAGAGACCCACACAGCACTGGACTCTGCCAGGTCCATCCCTCATTCTGTTTGTGGCCCCTCTTTCTCTTCTCCATAGAATGAGCAACTGTGGCCTCAACTGCTGTTGCTGTGCCTCCCGGCCTGGCCCCTCATACACTCCTAGCCCCCTTCACAGCATTTTACATATATTTTGCACAAGTTAAGAAAGAGGCAGCTTGTAAGGAGCCACACCTGTAACACCACCCATGCACCATTTCCCCCTTTCCCTCTGTTGGAGCCAGTCAGGCAGGAAATTACAGAGACGTTCTGATTGGGTAACATTTCCAGCCTCTTAGCTATGCTAGAGTTCATATGATCATATTCCTAGTGGCTGATAAAAAGCTCTGTTTTTCAGCTTGCTTCAGTCCTTTTTTCCACATTCACCTTAAAGCTAAAAAATATATAGCGAATATAGCTGGGTTGAAGAACGTGCCAAGGCACTAGTTATTCTTTTTCCTCTTCAGATCCACCCTCCTCTGTGCCCTGGAGGCTGAGCATGTGTACTGCATTTCCCAGCATGCTTTGCCTTCTCGCATCTGGTTGGGTTTAGCCAATAGACCTCCACATGCAGTGGTTGTCACAGCCTTTCCCAGTTGCTATTCCCTGGGTGCTTCACTATTTCTTAACGGTGTTCCCATCTTTGGTACAAGGGATGTTCATAAAATTCTTCTTAGTTAAAACTTTCAGAGTTCCGTTTATTTCCTTCCAGAATGCAAATACAATATAAAATTGTACTGACCAGTACAGGATAAAAACCATGCCACTTTCTCGTAATGTTGTCTGAGAAAAGTTACTTAATGTTTATATTTGTAAAATGGCATTCTGGTACTTCTTTGTCAGGGTCGTTGTGAGGACATGCAATTAATATTGGTTTGACTTTTTTTTCTTCCATTCTGGCTCTCATAAAAGAAGCCACAGCCAAAACAGGATTAATAAGCACTGAAATAAGCGTATATCTTATCTCCTGACTTACATCACAGCATTGTTTTGTTATGTGTGTTTGTTTTATTTGATGTGAAAACAATTATTTCATGTTGAGTTTGACACTTTCTCTTGTCCTAATACCAACATTTTCAAAAAATACTGACATTTTCAAACAATGAAATTAACTGTTGCCCAGTTTCCTTCTGATTGAGAGCCTGCCTTTATTCAGCCTGGTACAAATGCTTGAGAAAGCATGCTATTCTAACTAGTAGAAGAGGAGCTCAGTGGGACTCTGTGTATGCTGCTCCATTCACTGTAGAGGTTAAAGTGTGTGTCTGTCTATAAAAATAGCTTGCTGGACATAACTTACACCCCAAACCCTATATCTCCATAAATAACCCCTGGCAGTTTCATTACAGCCTGGGGCACCCCAGCTAACACTGGCAGCTAACTTAACTCCAATCAATCTTTCTAATGCCTTTCATGGTTTGGTTTCATTAAGACCCAAGGCCATCGCTCACCCAGTGCCTGCTCAGCCACCATGTTGATTTGTGTCTCCTTATTGTGTGAATGAATATGCATCCCAGAAGACTTGAGATTTCCTCAGGAAGACAGTGCTGCTGAGTGTTCCCTATTTATTGCTTAGTACAAGAATATATATTACCTTTTATTATATGCCCATTAGATGGTAAAATCTGGTGAGGGATTTCTATTGGAGGGTAGTGAGCACAATTACAAATTTGGAAATGATGTGAAATATACCCTTGCAAGGATATTCAATGATTTATCAAATGCTTTTTTTTTCTGGTGACATGGATTAATTCATAGCCTATGTGAGATCATTAGGTTCCCCTTTCCCCTGACCCCCTTATTTCTGCTTTTTAGGCTTTGTTTAACTCTTGTTTATGCCCCAGTATATAGCCAAGAATTGGCCAACTTGAATGAAAAAGGGACTGCTCCTAGCCCTGCGGTAAAACCCCAGGAAAACCAGGGTTTCTCTCTCATTTTCTGGGTAGAATTTGAGGTAAATATCCAGGTATTGAGAGACAGAAGAGAGAGATGAAATTTAAAAGATGCTTCTCTGAGAGAGTAACCAGGAACTACCTCATCTGGCTCAGCACAATTACCTGCAATGTGGTCGCCTCAGCCTGCCCCCACCACCGTTCCCTTACAAAATCTGGAGGCGAGAAAAATTGGTACTTAAGTTAAAGCTTCAACCAAGCAGTTTTTGATTACATAGCTAGAATTTACTCAGCAAATCCTAATGGTTCACACTAACCTTGGCAGGGTCCCACTGGCCATATTTTCACAGTTGACTTATTTTTGAATAATTTCTGCAACAAATTAGATATGGAAAGCTTTTCCTTGAACCGCAGTCATGCATTTTTTCTCTTTCTCTTTTCTTTTCTCTTTTCTTTCTTTCTTTCTTTCTTTCTTTCTTTCTTTCTTTCTTTCTTTCTTTCTTTCTTTCTTTCTTTCTTTCTTTCTTTCTTTCTCTTTCTTTCTTTCTTTCTTTTCTTTCTTTCTTTCTTTCTTTCTCTTTCCTTCCTTCTTTCTTTCCTTCTTTCTTTCTTTCTCGCTTTCTCTCTTGCTTTCTTGCTTGCTTTCTTGCTTTTCTTGCTTTCTTTTCCCTCTTTACATTATCCCTAAGCCCCTTTGGAATTTTTATCATAAAAGCCACAGGAGATGCTACTCAGCGTTTTTGCCTTCAGCTGTGTGTCCATAGTGGATTTTAGTAGGTAGACTGAAATAGGTTTAACCAGTGCTCACTCAAGGCATAATTGAGAGGTGGATGGAACTTACCTTCCCAGCTGTGTCCCCTCCCTCTAACTTCTCTCTTAGCTTGTGTCAGCAATAAACTCACCCTTACCTGTCACCTTTATCCCTTCCAGATCCCTAGTGGCCTTATGCAATCTACTTGGTTTATTGCTTTCTGCTCCAGTCCCTTGCCTCTATGCATCACACACACATAAACCTTGATTTGCATCAGTCTTTATAATCTCCACGACAAAAATGAAATGAAACAAATAACAACAGCAACCCCTTCTCGTCCCTCTGCTTTCTGAATCAATGATTTATGACGTGTGTGTGTGTGTGTGTGTGTGTGTGTGTGTGTGTGTGTGTGTGTTGGATACCTTGGGATGATGGAGAAATAAAATCAGAATCTCTGGTAAGGAAGGATAGCTTGAAAGAGTATACTCAGCATTATGATTTTACATTTAGAAAATAGAGGAAAACTCTTTGTTTTCTTGTATAAGTTACATAATATAAAAAAGGCTTGCCAAAACCTGGACAGACTCCAAGAAAGTATTCTATTTTGTATAAAAAAAATTACGAAGTGCAAACGTGACTTAGAAACAGCAGGGAAAGAAGGAAAGTGGTTATTTACCATGGCACAAAGGAAGGGTGTGGTGTCACAGTTCCTTGGAGAAGGGATCAACATTACAAAGGAAGCTTATAAGGATTTTGTTTGCTGATTTCACAAATGGAATCTGCTTGGCTAATAGGTTACACCTTCATCATAGCCTGGCTGTAACATTTATTAATAAAGCAGTTTGATGCTGAAGGCTGGAATAACAGAAGTGATGGCAAGTGGGAAACTGGGCCAATTTTCTGATTTGTGGCTTCAGGGTGTGAGAAGGTTTCTATCACAAGCTTAGAGATGAACAAAATGTCAAACACATGTCTTCTTTCCCTCGGTTTAAGATTTCTTGCCCCATGTTGAAATATAAGTATCCTTAGGGGCTGTAGTTCTTTTAGACAAGCCTTAGTCACCAGCACCTCAGAGCTGACAGGATTCTCTTTCTAAGAGAAAAATGATGTGGCAGAGCAAGGAGAGTGTATTAGGACAGTGAGCAACTGAAAGAGGAAAAAGGAGGTGTCATAATTTGTGTTTTAGCACCAGTACTTCCCGGACCCTTGTATCCTTACCTGTTGCCGTCTAACCTAGTAGTTCTTCCCTTAAAAGGGGTAGAGTCAGGGGAAAATCTTCATGACACTGGATTTGGCAATGATTTCTTCGCTATGATACCAAAAGCATAGGCAACAAAAGAAAAAATAGATAAATTAGACTTCATCAAGGTTAAAAACATTTGTGTATTAAAGGACACAATCAACAGAGTGAAAAGTCAACCCATAGAATGGGAGAAAATATTTTCAAATAATGTATTTGATAAAGATTAATATTCATAATATATAAAGAACTTCAACTGAACAACAACAACAACAAAATGAAATGTCTCAATTAAAAAATGGGAAAACTATTTCAATAGACGTTACTCCAAAGAAAATATACAAATGATCAGGAAGCACATAAAAAGATGCTCAAAATCATTAATCATTAGAGAAAATGCAAATCAAATTCACAACGAGATACCACCTTACACTCACTAGGATGGCTAACATCAAAAAACTGGAAGATAACAAGTGTTGGTGATGATGTAGAGGAATTAGAACCCCTGTGCATTGCTGTTAAGAATGTAAAATGGTATTCCTCCTCTGGAAATTGATATGATAGTTATTTAAAAAATTAAATAGAGAAAAAGGGCTTCTGTCATGAGTGGCCTATGTAGGGCAACCAGACTGCTCTTCATGCAAAATTGACATCAAGAGCTTTCAGAAGCATATTTCTTTTTTGGAAGTTGGGCAGCTGGTAATCATTGGTCTTGGCTCATTATTAAAAGAAAAAATTAAACAGCATTGCCATATGATCTGGCAATTTCTCTTCAGGGTATACACCACAAAGATTTGAAAACAGATGACTCAAACAGGTATTTGTACATCCACGTTCCTGGCAGTATTATTCACAATTACCAAAAGGTGGAAGCAACTCACATGTTTATTGGCGGATGAATGGATAAACAAAATGTGGTATAAACATACAATGGAATATTATTCATCCCTGAAAAAGAAGGGGATTCTAACACATGCTTCAGCATGGATTGACCTTGAACAAATTATGGTATCAGGGGATTACCTGATTATGGTATCAGGTAAAGAGGATTTTCCTTCCCCTTCCTTCTGAAAGTTTGGTAATTTGAGTCTATAAAACAAACTGACAATAGACAGATTAACAGGAGAAAAGACATACAAATTATTTATGGGCAAATGTACAGGAACCACAAAATGTAAGACTCAAAGAAGAACCAGATGACTGAGGTGTTTATACTGTACTTATGGCTTCAAGACCACTGTGTTCTCATGTCAAAGTTCACTGATGGTTCTGTCAGTAAAAATTTCACCTCAGTTCATAGAATGTTAAATTGAATGAAAACTTAGAGATTATATAGTCCAATTCTGAATGTGAAAACTGAGGTTCCTTCAAAGATGATAACCTCAGGGATGGTTCTCTTGACAGACTCTAAGCTGGATGGTTCTAAGAGAATTACAGAATGATGAGTGTTTCTGCCCCTAACCTCTGGGTTTACTAAACAGAGCATTTATTCTTGATCCCTGCCTTTTAACTGAGCCACACAAGTCTAGGACCCATAGAAGAGGAAATTTATGGGCCTATGAATCTTCATTTGCTGTTCTGGAGAGCATAATTATGACCTTTGATTTAGACATTCCCCGGAGATGCAGCTGAGCTGGTGCTAATAGCCCTTAGCTATTCACTGGGACATCATTTCTTCCCATCAGGACATTAATTCCGAGGAATGCTTTGGTTTCTCAATTGGCAATTTCCATCACTCATTTCATGACTAGTAATTAATATTCACTAAGAACTCATGGGGCATCTAATCCTTCCCAATATTGGTTAAGTATCTATTGTCAGCAAGAGAGTTAGACTTGGAGCCCAAAGTCCTAGTTTAAGTTTTGGGTCATCTCATTCAAAATTTATTTACAAGTCATGCCAATTATTTATCCTAATCACCTGATACACATGCACGTGTGCACACACATACACACACACACACACTCCAAGAAACAAAAAAACAAGCCCGAGTACGGGGGTTTACGCCTGTAATCCCAGCACTTTGGGAGGCCAAGGTGGGCAGATCACCTGAGGTCAGGAGTTCAAGACCAGCCTGGCCAACATGGCAAAATCCCGTCTCTACTAAAAATACAAAAATTAGCTGGGCATGGTGATGCGTGCTGTAATCCCAGTTACTCCAGAGGCTCAGTCAGGAGAATCGCTTGAACACAGGAGGTGAAAGTTGGAGTGAGCCGAGATCACACCACTGCACTCCAGCCTGGGCAACACAGTGAGACTCTGTCTCAAAAGAAAAAAAAAAAAAGCCAGGCTCAGTAGCTCACACCTGTAATCCCAGCACTGTGGGAGGCCGAGGCTGGCAGATTACCTGAGGTCAGGAGTTCAAGATCAGCCTGGCCAACGTGGTGAAACCCTGCCTCTACTAAAAATATAAAAATTAGCAGGGTGTGGTGGCGGGCACCTGTAATTCCAGCTACTTGGGAGGCTGAGGCAAGAGAATCCCTTGAACCTGGGAGGCAGAGGTTGCAGTGAGCTGAGACCATGCCATTGCACTCTAGCCTGAGCAACAGGAGCAAAACTCCATCTCAAAAAAAAAAAAAAAAAAAAAGAAAAAGAAAGAAACATATACACAGACTTTTGAAACAAAAGCACTCCATATTTTGGTATTACTTTAGTATTTTCTCATTGAGTCTACTCCACTTGATGCTGTTTCAATCTCTTAGACTTCATTTTGTTTTTATTATTGTTTTTAATGGTAGTCAAAATCACTTTAACTGATTTTTAACCTACAGATTGGAAACACTATACAATTTCAAAACAAAGAAAGATCAACTCTATATTTGTAAGCACATTTTAAAAGCAGCGCTATGTAATTAATTCTTAGGAACAACTGCTATATATAAGTATATGTAGAGAGCTAAGTTTTGTTTACTTATCTGCTTTGGGTGTTGGTGGGCTCCGTAGGTGTTTTAATCACCATTTCGCAAGTGTGAAAACTCAAGTTTGGAGAAGTCCAAGGCCACATAACTGGCAAGTGGCAGAGGCTGGGTGGAAACCCAGGGCAGCTGACACCACATTTTATACCCTCTCCACTTTTCTATGCCACAGGCATGTCTATAAGTAAGGTGTTACTGTGTCCTAAAACAATAATCAGGAAGTATTTTGAACAAGAACATTATATTTGATTGTACAAAAAAATCTAGGTTCTAAGTTCTTTCTGCCTAGGACTCTCATATGCTTTTCTAACTTTAGGGCTTGTTGGTATATCACTGCAGATGGAGATCTATACATTTAATCCAAGAACAGAAGATGAGCTACACCTCGCTCACGTCCTTCCTGGTTGGTAGTTTTCTCTGATGGTGGGAACTTGAAACAGCTGGGAGACAGTGTGCTAGTCTCCATGAAGCCTGAGATATTTTAACACCTAAATTTCAATATTCTTATTTTAGCTTCTATCATTAGAAATACCTCCCCACATTCCTTTATTTCTTTCCAAAGACATCTATTAGTGAATGGTTATAAGACACGTTGTTCCTCTCTGTCTTTACCTATAACCATCCGTCCTTGCGGTTCACATGCCTACCATACTAAACTACTTGGAGCTCTCTGATTATGACTTGCCTATTACATTTCCCTTTCTTTGTATGTGCTGTTTCCTCAGCCTAGAAAATCTCCCCTGATTTTTGACTGAAGCACTAGTTACTTCCTCTGAATCCTTCTCTAATGCCTTTGACTGATTTGAGGTTTTGTTTTTTTTTATGCTTCCATTGTGCCATATGTAAATATGTTATCCAGAGTTGATGCTATTTTATCATTTTGCAAAACAAAACTCTCTAGTTACTACAACTAAGAAATAGCAATTATTTATTCAATATCATATTGCCAAGCACTTGAAGCCACATCGATCGTTTTGCCTGCCCAGGTTCCATTTTGCCTATATCTGAAGACTGCATCAGGGCTCTGATTTGGGGATCTCCTCCTCTTCCATTGACACAGTTGGTAGAACTGCATCAGTCAAGATGACCCACAATCTCCTGGCCGAGAGAGCATATTATTCAAGCTACACTGGCTAGATTATCTGTTTTTTCCTAGAATTTGAATCTTAAGTGGAATGACTCATGTATTCTCTTGGTACAAAGCAATGGCAAATTAGATTGAATGTTAAGAAAAAAAAACATAACCATAATTGCACTACTTAGCTCAAAAAGATACACATTTCTTTGCATAAAGGTACCTGAAGCCATGGACATCAGTGAGTGAGAGTTTGGAATCTGACCCCACAACTCTTTCTGATATTTGTCCAATATCACCATAGGCAATAATTCTAAACCACCTTAAAATATTTAAAACCTCTGCATAATTGAAAGATACCATAAAAAGTTAAAAGACAAGCCACCGATTGGAGACTATATTTACAACACACATAATGAACAAAGAATTAGAGCCCAAAATACATAAATAAATTTTGCAAATCAATAAGAAAAGGAAGAACAACTAAGATGAAGAATCCACAAAGGATGTGAATGAGAGTTCACAGAAGAGGAAAAATGAATGATGAATAAACATATGAAAAAATGCTTACTCTCACTAATTATTAGAGGAAATAAAACAACAGAGATATCACTTCACACTGACTGGCAAATATAAAAATATATGAGTTCCAGGGGTTAGCAATGATGTTAGAGAAATCAAACTCTTTTAAAATTAAATTTTTTGTTTTTATAGATTTATTGGAGACTTGGAAAGGCAGGAGAGTTCAGGGGTGAGGGATAAGAAATCAAACTCTTATACAGCAGGTCCTTGAATAACATCTTTTTAATCAAAGTTGTTTCATTCAAGGTCATTTCATCCAAGGTCGTTTTGTGATAATGTTGATTAAAAAAATGAATTTATTATACATCGTTTTGCTTAAAGTTGCAATTTTCAAGAAGCTGGTCCTCACTTAATGTTCTTAGATACTGGCTTTGAGCGAAACATTGTAGTGCTACATTAAGGGGAGCATAAGATGATAAAATAGCTTTGCGGCACTGCCTATTAATGCTGAAGACATGCCCTTGTGCCCCAGAGAAATTCTTGCATATATTTAAGAGATGGTATGTGTAGGGATATTTATTTCAGCATTGCTCTTAGTAGCAGTGATATGTTTTGACTGTGTTCCCATTCAAATCTCAATGTCAATTGTATCTCCCAGAATTCCAATGTATTGTGGGAGGAACCCAGGGAGAGGTAATTGAATGATGGGGGCTTGTCTTTCCTGTACTATTCTCGTGATAGTGAATAAGTCTCACGAGATGTGATGGGTTTATCAGGAGTTTCTGCTTTTGCTTCTTTTTCATTCTCTCTTGCTGCCACCATATAACAAGTGCCTTTCATCCTCCACCGTGATTATAAGACCTTCCCAGCCTTGTGGAACTATAAGTCAAATTAACCCTCCTTTTCTTCCCAGACTCGGGTATGTCTTTATCAGAAGACATTTGTCCATATAAAACCAGTCTAATACAGTAAATTGGTACCAGGAGTGGGGTATTGCTGAAAAGATACCCAAAAATGTGGAAGCTTCTTTGGAACTGAGTAACAGGCAGAGGTTGGAACAGTTTGGAGGACTCAGAAGAAGACAGGAAAATGTGGGAAAGTTTGGAACTTCCTAGAGACTTATGGAATGGCTTTGACCAAAAGCCTGATAGTGATATGGATAATAAAATCCAGACCAAGTTGGTCTCATTTGGAAATGAGAAACTTGTTGG